TATATCTATATCGGATATAATTGATGATAAATCAAATGAATTTTTATCTAATAATTTTAAAAATTGACGTAGAATTAACATTATATATGGTTGCTCAGTTTCTTCAACAGGTATATTATGAATTTCTGCTAATTTTATTGCAATTAATTTTGAAATATTTTCTTCACGTACATCATCTCTTGAACATGTCTTACCCGATACAAATTCATATATAATTCCATTATTAAATTGAATAAGAACACGTTGAGAAAAAACACCATGCTCATGAAATTTAATCATTGCATTGATTTCTGATTGTCGATCAATAAATAATTCTGTTTGAATACCATAGATTTTAATAATTAATGCATTTGAATCATCATCTGGAGTTCGATTATCAAAAATACCTAAGATAATATTTGTAAGACCTTCAGTAAATGTAACCAAACGAGTATTTGATGATGTCCAATCCGATCGGATTGATTTAATTAAAGGATAGATTTCATTCGTAATATTTGAATTAGATAAAGTCACATTCTCAATTATTGGATATAATTTCATACTAGAATATATTCAAGTCAAGCGAATTATAAACTTCTCAATAATTCTTATCAACCGAAGTCCTCGACATAACTGTTAATAATAATAAGAATGGCATTCATTTCTACATGATATGAAATACAATCATTATACTATCGATATTCCATTACATTCAAAATACAAACACAAAATCATTTAAAATTTTTATTTTATCTATTAGTATTCTTCTATACAAGGGATTATATATAAACCAATAAAAATATATTATTTATAGAGGGTGGGTGTGCGTGTGGATGTGGATCTGAGCAAGGATGATAACGAAGAAGATACACCTACACCCACACCCTCAAAGTTGAATCAGTTTTAATTGTTGATGCCTAAATAAAGAAAAAGAAAATAGAAAGAAAATATTAAATTGATAATTAACCTAATTTTCGTGATAGATTTATATTTAAATGTGCTTGATTTGTCGATGATAAACAAGATATTTCATTAGCTGTTATTGAAGCAAATGTTCCAGCTATAAATGAAGTCAGTTGAAGTGTTGAAGATATTAGTGATGGACGTTCAGGTGATAAAATTAAACCAGATGTAAAAGAAGTTTTGGGTAATGATGAAGAGGGTGTGGATTCATATTTTATTTACTCACACTGACATTCTAAACGAAAAAAACTTTCCTTCGCTCTTTTATTCAAAAATTTCTTTTTCTTCAGGTTTTATTCGGTTTTTTATTTAAAAAAAAATTTCATTTACAAAATTATTTCTAATTTTTCAATTCGATGATTTCCCCAATCAGCAACATAAAGATTTCCTTCATCATCACAAGATAAGCCCATGGGATAATTCAATTGATTTGATTGATTTTCGAAGCCATTTCCATCAATAACAATTTCACCTTCTTCTTTTCCTTCACACCAACGCATTATTCGATGATTCCCCCAATCCACCACATAAATTTGATCCAAATGATCAACAATTACTCTGTGAGGTAAAGACAACTGATTGAGATTTCCTCCTTTACCATTTCTTCCAGCGACAATTTTTCCTTCTTGTGCATCTTTTCTCCATTTCATCACACGGTGATTGTTTTGATCTGATATATAAACAGATTGATCGTCATCAACAAAGATAAAACCTGGATAATTAAGTTGATTGAGTTGATTTCCATTTCTATTTCCACCTGCTACTATGATTCCTTCATTATCATATTCACCCATTTTCCATCGTCTCACTTCATTCTTCACACTATCCGAAACATAAAGAAATCCATGTTTATCCATTGCCAAGCCAAAACAGTCAATATTGTCAATAAGAATATGTTGCTTTTGATTCAACCATTGAATTATCCGTCTGTTATCAGAATCAGCAATGATGATCGAATGGTCTTGCTCATCAACAATCACATCTGATGGAAAATATAATTGATCCATTCGGTTTCCTTCTTTATTTCCACCTGCAATGATTTGTCCTTCTTTTGCATTACGTTTCCATTCAACAATACGATGATTAGTATGATCAGCAATGAAAATATTTTTGTTTTTATCAATAAAGATTCCGTTAGGATAATTGAGTTGATTTAATTCTTGTCCTTTTTCATTTCCAGCAGCCACAGTGATGGCATTTTGCTTCCATTTGTTGAGTTTTGGTTCTAGAAAAGGATGAAAACAAAACAAAAGATTCATTTTCAATGAAATTTGCAAGTATAGAACGTCTACTGATTTCAGTATAGTTATCAATTTGTTGAAATATCAAAGAATAAAACAGTAGAATAAAGATTTCTAATATAATTACGCAAACTTTAAGACACTCAAATCCAATCAAATTTATTCATATGTTTGCCATAAAATATCAATATATTCTTTCTACTAAATTTTATTAGAAAGTGTTTTTTATTTACCAATCATAGAAAACATCTCTCTTCATTAATAAATATCAAGAAAAGAGAACTAGTTTTATTAAATAACTAAATTAATACTCACAAAAATAAAAATTATGAAAATTATCTTCTCAATAAACACCCTTCTATAATACTACACTCTGTAGAAAGTTTATACTGTAAATGAATAGATGGAATTAATAAATCAATCATCTCTAAAAAGATTTTCAGATCGAAATATAATCATTCAATTCTTTGTTATACGCCAAGTTAGAATTGCTTTCACTAATAAATTAATTAATAAGATTGTCAATGTTTGGTTCCTTCTTCATCATTATAATTTTTCAACAATATCATAAAAAATGAGAATTTTTCTTTCGAAAACTATTTATTAAAAACTTACTTTTTTCTAATGAAATAATTGAAATTTCATTAATAAATGATTGTGAATCTTGGTCAATAGACATATTTGACGGGTTATTTAGTTCTTGATTCATTTTCAGTAATTGATTTTTTAAGTAATTTAAATTAATTTCATTAAATTCATTTTCTTTTTGCATTTGTTTTATTTGTTCATTTAAATCATTAAA